AGGGCTTTATCCCCCCTAACACATTCACACCCCCACTTCCCTCTATAACTATAGCAGTGGCTGTTATTAAATCCAACATCATTCAGGAGACATTGAAAGTGTTCCTTTTCTACTTATCACTTTGTACCTCACATAATGTGATGTTTAAAAATACCTGTTTTAGCATACAACTCAGGAGCAGAGAAATACTTTTTAATATAACATCACACAAAGTGCAGACTGTCAGCACATAGTTGCTCCAGTGGAGCTAAAAACAACCACAAAGATAATATGTACACTTGTTTTATATCAGAATAAATGTAAACTAAAAGAGACAATTAGATTTTCTGTGACAGTATTTATTTCTCTGTCTCTAGCAGATTAAGAAAGCAATCACTGCCTCTGCTCTGAAGGATGATGTGGCTGTGGTAGAGTGTGAGAGCAGTGTGTTTGTGTTGTAGTTGTGTTTCTGTGTATGTCTGCATGTGGGCACGTGTAGTCGAAGCAACTGGTGACGCGGGTAATGACGAGCCTGCTCTTTGTTTAGGTCTTCCAGCAGTGAACATTCTGCACCTTAATCATGCATGCAATGTACATACAGTACAAGTACATTCAGGACATACACACCAATTTTGTTTTTCTTGATGTGATATTGTGTTTAACTTCAAATATAAGTTCCTATTTAAACATGTATAAGTTAGTATTTAATTCAGGTTGCGTGTATTTTTACAGGCTAAGCAGCAAATGCATCTTCTGCTTGTTCAGTTGCTGTATTCATGACCAACCCTGTCGGCAAAAAAACATTATGTACAACTGATTTGTTTTGCATCAAACACATTTTGAGCAAAACATAATTCCTGGAAGTGCTACTTTTTGCACCACATGCAAGATGTCGCCTCCTCAGTCCCATGTGTGGTTGGGTTTAGACAACAAAAGCAACGTGTATTGCCTCATGATTCAAGCCCGTGACGAACACAAGTGGTCCCTCATCTCAGTTATTAGTTATGAGGGTCATAACCCAATTGTTGAATAAACAGAAATTTTGACCTAATGATGGCAGTTGATAGAAGGTCAGGGGATCAAAGTTTTACAGATAATCACCTGGGGACCATGAATACGTACAAAATTTCATGGCAGTTACATATCGGGATATTCCAGTCTGGACCAAAATGGTGGACTGACCAATTGATTTCACTGATATCACTGACATTATGCTATTATACTTTTGACTGAACTCCACATTATGGAAGTGAGAGAGAGAGCTGTCCCATAGCCTCAGCTGGTTTTGCCAACATGTTTTATGCCTAAATGACAAAATAGGTAAACTTTCAACTGTCCCAAAACAACATAGGCTATATAACCAATTTCCAAAGCGACATACATATCCGTTGGAAAGTACAATGACATAGGGGAAACCGGGTATGGTTGTAGGTTGGGGACGGTGTTAACATCACCAATTCCACCAATTAGGGATTGTATAGGAGCCATGTTATCATTTCAGTATTTACCTACTTCCATTGATAGTGGTTGTCAAGGCTGGAAACAGGCACATTTAGAATATACAGAGAAAAAAAATTATTTTGAAGTTAGAAAGTAATTTTGACCAAGACTATATTTTGTTTAGTATCTAAACTATTGCAGATAAAATTATGTCTTTTATTAGATGAAAATGTAGTTTATTAGGCAACCTGTGATGCATTTTCCCTCTGCTAATTTCAAACCACTATGCTAATACAGCTAGCTAAACAAGGGCTGACAGGAGTGGGGTGTAACACTTATTTAAAAAGTATAACAGCCATCTCTTACATACAGCTAATGACTTTCTTGAATTTATAATTTTTACAGAGTGCCCTATGCAATTTCTGGGCCTACCAAGCCTGCAGTCCAAGGTTACCAGCATTAATTTGTTACAACCTACCCCACTACCGGGGTAGATTTGTTGTTGCAGAAACAAAAAGTGTTACAACCATATCTGGTCTCCCCTATATGAACATTCTCCAAAATGATAAGTGTTCGGCAAGTTACTCAGAAATTGTAATATATTACTAGTTACTTATTACTCCTTAAAAAGGTAATATTATTTCTTTACTTATTACTGGCAGATAAAAGTAACTAGTTACGTTACTAGTGTGCAGAGAAAAGGGAGCGAGCCAGGAGGTGCTGCACGAATATATGCTCCTCAATACAGATCCATAATAAAAAATGATTTTAAATATGCCTAGTAAAAATTTGGGAAATCAGTATGTGGCTGTCAGCGTTGATAATTATCCAAATTATAGGCTAATTATGGGAAACACTGCTTTCACTACCACCCCCCTTCCTGCCCAATCAAAGCAGTCTCTCGCCAAACTTTTAACTAACAACATATCCATAACAGCAGCAAGGAGTGTGGTTTTTACAAAGCATGTAGCCTAGGCCTAACGTTTATTAACACCAGCGGCTGAAATGAAAAAATAAAGCAAGTAAATCCCGACTTTTAAACAGCTGCACATGTAGCCTGTTTATAAGAGCAGTATTCAGTAGTTACAAAACATTGCGTTAACACCACTCTCTCCCGGCAAGTCCAAGCATCAGTGGCAGTAGCTGCTAGAGTTTCTCTCTGTAAGTTTCACGTCACTGTGCTGCTTCAGCAGATGCTTCAATAAATCAGATGTAAATTTGTTTGCGGTTTTTGCTGGTCACGCAGAGTTTACAATAGACGACAATGTTCTTTGCATCTTAGACTGTGACACAACAATGACAGTAGCTACAGCTGTGGACAGAACGCCTCTCTCCCTCGTTCTACATTCTTCCTTTAGTTTTGGCTATCAGCGACATGAACAACAAAGTCAGGTACCGCTGAGCTGCACCACAGTCGTGGATTTACGTCAAGGATGGTGCGTTCAGTAACGAGTAACACAGCGTTACTTGCCTTAGTCACTAGTAATAATATTACCGTTTTAGAAAAGTAATTAGTTATACTACTTAGTTACTGGGAAAAGTAATATTATTACACTGAAAATGATATAAGCATTGGCAAGTACCAGTCCAGCGACAGGCCTACCGGCGTACCACATGGTAAACTTTGTGAAACGGTTGTAGTTTTGTTAGGTTTAGGCAACAAAAGTTCTTGGTTACGTTTAGGAGTTTCTGTTGTGGTTTCTGTTAAAAGAAATACGTTATTAGTAAGTCACATAAGTCGTAAATCACGTAAGACGTAAGTCACGTATGAAATTTTATTTAAATAAAAACTTTGAATATGTCAAGTTTGACTTTCTTTCACATGTGACTCAAACCTCAGTCTCCTTTGTTAAAGTCCTGAGTTTACTTTACACATCCATCCACCCCACCACATACCTGCGTGGACTTTGTTACTCTTTATACTACATCACCTGATTTCTTCCACCTCTAGAGCTCGTAGCCTAACAGAAGATCTAAATATGAGTCGTAATAAGCTGCTGCATAATCAACTTCTGCGGCCATTTTTCTGGTGAGGATGAGTTAGGTTTTGCATATGATTATCATTGGTAAGCTAATGCTTTTTGCATTGCGATGATTTTCTATATTTATTTAAAAAACAGAATAATATGTATAAACGTTGAAGTCTGTTAAAAGAGTATGGCCACAAATAGTAAGATTTCTTTCACTGAGCAGAAGCTTGTGAATTCTGCATTTCTTCGACTTCCAAAGTTAAACTTTGCCTTTATTGTTGAATCAGCTTAACAAAAGTAGTTAAAAAATGAAATTCTTCACATACACTACAATGTTATTCCTTGAGTTTACAAGCGAGATAACAGTAGCTTCCCTGTACAGTATATACCTGTATAACAAATACCTTCACATAGAATATTTAGACAAAATATTACAACAAATACAGATGCAAATATGTTGAATATGTTAAATATCTTACCTTTTAAAGTGTATAGTTCAAACTGCCCTGATGGGTTTCTTTGGGTTATAATTACACCAACTGGTACATATTGACATATTGACAAATTGAAGCAAATTAAATGACAAGCAGAAACTAATGTGCCTGGGGGGTTGCACTATACATCAACACAACATTGTTGGCATAGACAAAATATGTGTACATTTTAAAGAGGTTGCAATTTAGATCTTTAGTCTATGATCTAATGGATACAGCTTGAAATGTGCTCTGAGGGCACTGCAACTTTGGCATTCTTTGTTGCATTGGTTCATTTTAATGGTGGTGATCAGTGAATTGAAGTTTATTGAGCTGCTGAAAATATCAAAATTTTTTGACACTTTAAAAACATGTATGTTGTAACAACTGAACATCAAATATAAGTTCATATTTCAACATATATGTATGCCAATATTTAATCCAGCATGTATATATTTTTACAGGCTAAGCAGCAAATGCATCTTCTGGTTGTTCAGGTGCTGTATTCATGAATGCGCCAACCCCGTCGGCAAAAAACATTATGTACAACTGATTTGTTTTGCATCAAACACATTTTGAGCAAAACATAATTCCTGGAAGTGCTACTTTTTGCACCACATGCAAGATGTCGCCTCCTCAGTCCCGTGTATGGTTGGGTTTAGACAACAAAAGCAACGTGTGATGCCTCGTGACTCAAGTCTGTGACGAACACAATTGGTCCCTAACCATAGTTATTAGTTATGAGGGTCATAGCCATTGTTGAATAAACAGAAATTTTGATCTAATGATGGCAGTTGATGAAAGGTCAGGGGATCAAAGTTTTTACAGATGATCACCTGGGGACCATGAATGCCTATCCAAAATTTCATAGTATTTTATGTCATACTTATCAAGATATTCCAGTTTGGACCAAAGTGGTGAACCGACCAACCGATGGTTTAAAATCCTGTCTTGTTATGTTGATAAAAACATATTTCCGGCAAGCTTATTTATGTGATATGTTTTCTAGTGACGCTATCTATCTATCTATCTGTTGTGTTGGTTCATTTTAATGTTGGTGATCAATGAATTGAATTTAAAGATGTGTATGTTTTAAAACTTAATTTAATTGTTTTACTTCCTTATGTCTTACAGGTGTTGAGCTTCAGCTGAGGATGGCAGGAGATTCTCGAATCCTCATGGACCATAATATGGAGATAGGAGTCACACCTGCACAGGTAAACTGCACAGCCACTTCTGGTCAAACACTGCACTGATCACTATGATCTTTCCACAGCTGGGAAAGAAGACCTGAGAGATTATGTGAGAGAAATGTGACATGGTGATGGAGGCTCATTGAGACAGCAGAGGAAGAAAAAGAGATGGGAAAGATATGGAGAGATGGCAATGATTAGTAGGGAAAAAGCTATGTGTGTGAGAAAGAAAGTCAGACTGATGGATTTAAAGCGTGGTGGGAATGAGGAGGATAAAAAGGCTGTTAGATAAACAGTAGATCTCATGTATTCATCGATTAAAGATCAAGCACCGCAAAGTGTAACCAAACCTAATTCTTTAGATAAATTTAAAGATAAATTCAGTTAACTTGGCAATGGGGCTAGAGATATAAGAAAAGACTCCCCACTCATTCCCAAAAATGGATGGTGGGGTTGCACTGGTCGTGTCTTGATTCCCCTGCCAATTGGAACCTATGCTGTCTATCCATGCACGTCCAGAATGGCTCAATGAGAGAAAACACCCACCGTTTACTACTGTCACACAGATAGAACTAATGAATTTGTTTATTGACCATCACCCCCACAGACTGTATTGACTACAAATGCCAAAGATTGGATGGCACTGTTTGTGACAGCTTCATCTATCACTCAATTAACCCCAGCCCAAAGTGTGGAAATAAGTGGGTATATCTTCGGCTGCCTTTCATTTAAAAGCAGTGTAGTGTAAAAGTAGTGATTATCGACAATTTAAAAGGTTTCCATCTAAGAAAAGACTGTATTCAGATTCTATATTTGATCCATTATCCCTGAGTGCAGTTGGTAATAAGGGAGCCCATTGACATTTAGTGAATGCATTGTCATCAAACCACTAATTGTGATGCCAGTCAATAAGAATTGTCTTTCAATTCTTCTCTGTCAACGTTCATTTAACCGGGATCACTTCGAATCAATATCTGAAAACCTAATATTGTACATGCAGGCCTGGCCAAATGTGCATGCCATGCACACAGGCCAGCAGTGAAACGGCACCTAAAACATCCTGAAATCAGGTTTAAACAGATTTTATTATCCAGGCTCTAAAATCGAAGGCACTGCAAGGATATTGTAGTGCCTTAGATTATGCCCTTCCCCGGCTGAACAGCGAGAGCGATCGTCTTTCTGATAGAGCAGAGAAGCAGCCAGTGTAACCACAATAGGATGTAACTTTCCTGGCGTTGTGAGCATGACTCTAGAGAGAGCTGGATCACAGGTGTCTGATTAGCAAAGAGAGATTCAGAGGACACAGGAGCTTGCTTCTACACAATGCATTTCAATTATCAGCTCAGATTGGAAGTGTCAGTGTGCTGCCAACGTGTCCTTGGTCTGTTTGAAAGGTGCCTTGCAACTCTGTCCTCCTGTGTGTGTGTGTGTGTGTGTGTGTTTGTGTCTTTCTGTCTGTATGTATGCATGTGTCTGTGGCAGTCATTGGTTTTTATATATGTTATAAATGTTTTAAAACATGCAATATTAGAATCTTGCATTGTGCATTAAAGCCGGTTTCTAGATAAGTGCAATATGTGTGCCCAGGCATATGCCAGTCTTTTTAAGGATGCCATAAGGGTCTACTGGGGAAGGATGGAGGATATGTTCCTATTCGGGCCTGCCAATGCCCCAGAGGGTGTGAGGGGAGGGAACACAGGGGACAGGGAGGGAGGCAGGGCACAGCTGTGGGGCCAGATCGCCTCGCTGGAGCTGGGCCAACATAGACAAAGACCTGGGCGTCCTTGTGTTATTGTTGTGTCCTTACTTTGTCTTTCTCCCTGTATATAGATGCATGCACTGACATCTACAATGTCATTGTGGAGTAGCACAGAGCAGTGACTTCATAACGGCTCTTAATTTTATTTGCCTCCCCGCCAGCAGCACAGAGCGGTGTGATTGTTTCTTTTACAGAGACTGAGAGAAAATCAAATTAAAAAGGTTTAACACCTTCAGCAACCAGTGCAAAGTCAAAGCTTTAGAGAAAATTTTTATGAAAAGAAATCACTGTGGCTCTGTAAAGTATACCCATATGGATAAAAACTTAAATTGCTATTGTTCTCTCTCCCTCTTTATGTCTGTCTTTGCTTGCTTGCTTTCTTTCACTCTCCATCATCCCCTTACTTTGCCTCTCTCTGTCTTTATCGTTTCTCGTCCACATAGGTGAAGAAGCTTCCTAAACACTTGCGGGAGGCTCAGATCTCGACAGAGCGTACCCACTTGATTTCTGACCCGGCGAAGAAGCCACGTCAGCGATATGTGCAAAAGGATGGCAAGTGCAACGTTCATCACGGAAATGTGCAAGAGACCTACCGTTACCTCAGTGACTTGTTCACTACGCTGGTGGACCTACGCTGGCGTCTTAGTCTCTTCATTTTCACCTTAGTCTATGTAGTCAACTGGCTTTTCTTTGGCTTTCTGTGGTGGCTGATAGCACTAATCCGTGGGGATCTGGTGCATGCTGATGAGGAGGGCTGGACCCCATGTGTGGAGAACCTCAACAGTTTCGTCTCAGCCTTCCTCTTCTCCATTGAAACAGAGACCACCATAGGGTATGGTTATCGTGTAATCACAGAAAAGTGCCCTGAAGGTATCATACTGCTTTTGGTGCAGGCCATCTTGGGTTCTATTGTTAACGCCATGATGGTGGGCTGCATGTTTGTGAAGATCTCACAGCCAAAGAACCGCGCCGAGACCCTCATGTTCTCGCACAATGCTGTCATATCAGTGCGAGACAACAAGATGTGCCTGATGTTTCGGGTGGGGGACCTGAGGAACTCTCACATCGTGGAGGCATCGATCCGAGCGAAGCTGATCCGCTCGCAGCAGACCAAGGAGGGGGAGTTCATCCCACTCAACCAGACTGACATCAACATCGGCTTTGACACAGGAGACGACCGGCTGTTCCTGGTGTCACCGCTTATCATCTCTCACGAGATCAACGAGAAGAGCCCCTTCTGGGAGATGACAATGGCGCAAATGGAGAAGGAGGAGTTCGAGATCGTAGTTATCCTTGAGGGCATGGTGGAGGCCACAGGTATGAAGGGCGGGGGAGCTGATCAAGGGAAGGGGTAAAGTATGGGAGAAAGGCGCTATGGGAGGGCATATGGCTGATGGGTAGAAAGACACAGAGATTGATGAAATGCTGGATGCAGGAAGTGAGCTGAGTGGGAGTGATGGGAAAATGGATAAATGGATGAAAAGATAGAGAGAATAATATTAACAGATAATCAATAATTAATGAGGATTTTATTATTTCCATGATTTCATAACAGCTGACAAATATTTTTTGAGGAAGGTGAAACTGTTTATTTCATTAATCCTTCAACTGCAATTCTGTCTTCATAAATCATTTTGACACGTTTCAAAATATTTGTTACTTCAGCTGAAGCAGACGAGTGAAAGATGATCATGCTACAGTCGCCTCACGTGTTCTCTGTTCTCAGTGCAGCCCGCATTTCCACTGTTGCTACTTCAAGATTATATCTTTGATATTGTTTATTTCAAAATGAATGAAGTGTAGCTACCCACACTGCTGGTCTGTGTTTTGGGTAAAGGCCAAGCTGTCCTGAAAAGTGCTCCAGCCCAGTTACATTTATGAGGCAGACGTGACCAGGTGTTTTTGTAAAGTTGCCCATAGCTCCTATTTTCCAGCACAAGACTGTAACTCAAAAATCAAAATGAGAACAGTAAATTATGATGTCTATGTACCGTACAATTCATCATCATCATTTTCAATTATAGTGTTTTGTCAATTTTAAAAGCTTTGTATGTATAAATCTGCCTGTCATTCATAATTATATGTGATGAATACAGAAACATTTAGAGCATGATGGCCCACAGCTAGCTGTTAATTTGCTGTTCTAACATTTTTTCTGTGGGGTATTGGCTAAATCAGGTATTGTTTATATGCCTAAGCTGCATTATCTATTGACCTTTGTTCAAAGACTAATTATAATCCACTCAATTTAAATACAATGCATTATACATGTTACTAAATTACTTCATCGGTTATTATCATCCTTTGCATCAGTAAATGAAACACAGTGGTTGATTAGGAGTGTTTAGTCTCGTGCAAACAATTGTATTTTAAATAACTCGCAAGAACCATCGAGCTCCGTAGTGCGGTCAGGCATGGCTTTGCATGCATTGGAACATTTCTGCTCTAGTTCATTTTTGATTTTATTATTTATTTAATATTTTTCTCCTCCAAAGCACCAGTAGTCATCATGCTTCCTGCTCACGCAGCTGGATACTTGACTCAGGCAATAAATCACCTTTCGCTTCACCGGAAGAGACCATGGCATCATCCAGGGGTTATGTCGTCACCGCCCTTGACCGCTAGGCAATGGACCATTATGACCATCCAGTAGCCCTCCCCCTACTTCCTTCCCCTGTTAACCTTAATTAGAGACGTTAAACCACAAAGCATGACCTGGGGAATTAAAGGATAGTTCAAGTTACAGTATTTTCATTGTTTTTTTCAGTTTTTGCCATCATAACACTTGCACTTAAATTTTGTCATCAGCGAACGAAATACATAATTTATGTGTAATAATACAGTCTTGTAATTGACCCACATGGTGAAGTCAAGATGGTAACAAAAAGGTTTGATTAAAGCCTGTAAAAAAGTACTGATAAAATGATTGATAATAATCATGTATTTTTAATTGAGTTTTAAGGTCTTCAAGTCACTAACATTAGAATTCACAGCTGAATAAGCACCCTCAGTTGCTGTTTTAAATGTGATGAATCTACTGTCAGTTTAGTTATGTATCAGTGAATGGATGGCCAGTGCTGTGGTATGCAAAAATATAATTTGTATCTGATCTGGAAAATTCCAGGAGTAATGCCAGGGGGAGATACAGTACAAACATATTTTACATTTTTCTACATTTATGGCCCATATCAAGCAAGTAATGGTCTCATAAAATCAGCATCCTATGATGTTAATGAATTACACAGGTGTTATATAGTATAGAGTAAAAACTCTCTATTAAACAAAATATGTACCACATCACAAGTTGGATACTGTCACAGTGTTTGGAAGTGACAGATAAGGTGGTGGTGGTGGCTTCTCTTGTGCCATCATTTGTTTTCTCTGTTGATATCCAGCCTGTGGTTTTAAGCATGACTGTGAGTCAGGCTCTGGAAATCACTAACAACATTTGATTCTAAGGCAGTTCCACAACATTCTGCCCTACTACTTGATGACACATCTTAAATGGACTAATGAAAATATGTAGAAATAACAGTACACTTAATGAAATATATATATATATATATATATATATATATATATATATATATATATGTTTACATTTCTGAAAAAAGTAGATGTATATGTCTAAAATTACTGATTCAAATAACTGACAGACATGTCGTTCTCCCCAGTACCATCATCTTTGCTAATGCAAGGCCTCTGAATTCTTTGTTATCACTGCAGTTTACAAATTGCTGAGGGATTCCCCAGACTCACGGTGTACCTTGTCTGTATATTTTTCATATCTAATCGTTTATTACTATTACTTTCGATGATAAACCACCAACTTAACTAATTGCCTAAAGAAGTTTTTCAATGCAATTAGCTGACTAATATTTTGCTCTGAAAAAAAAGTGATTATGCTGCAGTTTATTGTAACGATTCAGGTCAATGCTCTGCTGTGCTGGCAGTCTAGTCATGTGCGTCAGTGATGCCGACAACAAACTTTGTTTTCATTATTGATAGTGTCTCTCAAGATAGGAGGTTTAAGGCTGTTTTTTTTATTTTACTGTAAACTATTCACATGTAAAATATGGCCTGCTTCATGCCATTTCTCCGAATCCAGAAAGCATCTTGCATCAATATTGTTGCTGTGTAAACAAGAGTGTTTGCAGTCGTGTTTTTTGTTTTACACTTTCCAGGAAAATTCACGAAAACAGACACCTGTAGCAGTGCCCAAAAGTAAGTTTTCTAAACGGATACTAGTAGTGGTTTGTCTAATGAGAAAAGTAGATACCGCTATACTGTATCTGGGACAACCGGAAAGCTTACTTGCCAGTATGCATGTAGCGCAAACAGTCTTTTCAATTAGAGTTGAATAAAATTTCAGCCAACCAATCCATTGTAATTTATAATAATCTGTCACTAATTATTTTTGTTTTTAAAGTTATCCAAAATATGAACACACTGTTGATTGATGCAAAGTAATCACAACCACACCAAGACAATGTCATTAGCGAGCCAGATTTCCAGAAGTTCCAATCCTCCAGTTCTGGTCCCGCAGTTCGATTCTAACATACACCACCTACTGGCAAGGAAAGGAAACAACTTTTGCAATTTTGATACCTCCAGGCAATGAGTGTTATGTTGCTTTCAGACCAAAAGCAAAGGAAGTATTTGAGGTGGCGCGATTACATACAAAGTCAGTTGTCAGTTGTGAGGATTAAATTTGGTCTGAATGCACAGGCTGGAGTATTTTTTCTTTGTCTGTATATGGTAGCTAAGCTGCTGTTTGAATGTTTGTGTTTCATAATTCACAAATTAGGCCTGCAAAGCATACAAATGTGGTTCGTAGTAGCATATTTTCAGCTGAATACTGATTTTTTTTAGTGTCACTGTGTGCTCTGTCCACAAAGGGTGTCCTTGTAGTTGGGGCAGGAGGGTTGTTCCTAACCAAAAACACGAAAAACACTTGCCACGAGACAAGCCCTCAGCATCTTGGTTTCAGGTAACTGAATTATTAAAATTTAAGTTTCAGTTGTACAGGAACACGTGCCAAATGCAGGTTATGTGCCAAGCTGTTCAGTTTTGCTTAGTCAGCACAGGACACGGGATCACATACAGAAAGCCTTGAGGGGAAATCTAAGTCACCACAAAACATAAGGGCAAAGAACACATGAAGAAAACCTTGTCATACCTCAAAATATCAAATATATCAAATTGCTAAGTTTCTTTCTATAAATACATTTGTCTTTTGACATAATCCACATGTATGATCTAGAACAAATGAACAGTTATACCTGCTTACCAGGAACAGAATATTAAATGAATGCAAAATATGTACCGAGATTATATTTGACATATAGGCTCCGGACCATGTCACTGCATGCAAGGATATATCAAACTGAATTCAGCAGAGATTGCGACAATCTGTTCTGTACCAAGTCGTTTTGGTGCCTAAATCTAACCAAATTGTGATGTTTCACAATGTTAACCACTTGTTTTATTTTTGCATATTTGTTAATGCCAACTTGACACATCCTACATGTCCAAAAACAACACAAAAGTGTACCCGGGGCGTTCAAAAGTGATGCCCAGGGGCTTTGACCAGGCATCCATATGTGACGAGCTGGGAGTGAGAATGTGTTGATTGGGAAATGACAACAAACTTTCCCCCAGGGGCTGGATGTTGGGGTGTAGGCCATTATGAAGTACTTCATGAGAAGGTGCAGCAGCACCATGTGATTGCAGCAGCCACACCTGCAATAAAGTTCTGACATTCTGTCCTATCAACATGGGTAAAGCTAGGGTGACCATATTTTGGTTTTCAAGGACGGTCAAGCTGCGGGGATTCAAGTAATTGGTGGCAATGTGTATGGGACTTTATAAGGTCCTACATGTGGGCTTCTAGATTGCTAGCACCTTTTTTTGACAGTGACACGTAATACCAGCTTTGCAGATGATGCATTTTACTTCAGATAATAGTAGGCTATCCTATATAGCTTACCACTACTATAATATTAATTCCAGGTACAGCAGTTTCATTATGGTTTGTTGTTCTCATTCATTAAATACTTAAATACTCTAATTTGTAAATACTAAGTGCTAACTTGTCAATAATCCAAACGATTCATGCAGGACGAGTTCAACATTTGTAGGTTTGCTGTAGCACCACGTCAACCTTTAAATAAGGTTTACGGAAATTGATATTGATGGACAACTTGCACACGCTTGGATTAATAAAACTTGATCTACTTCAGACTCCGTCTCCGCCAGTGGATCAGGGAGAAAAACTACAGGCAGCTTGTGAGTAGTAGGCCTTCAAAGCAATGCAA